ATTCCTGTTCACGTATTTCAAACAGACAGAATGCACAGTCCGTTGGCAAACGTCAATGTCGGTTGCAGGATGAGCTTACGAGGTTCGTTAGAAAACAGAATTTTATTGCAAGCTCTTCAAGCGACCTCTGTCCAGCAGTGGATCGAAAACCGCTAATAATGGTGGTTCTTTCTTGATTTATGGTTTAGGATAAGAAATTACACTGTAGAACGTTTCTTCACTTCACACCGATCAGGAACCACGCTGGTAAATGACGAAAGTTAGCATAATTCTAGTGCCATTGTCTTGAACCATGAATCAAGAGAATAGAGGATGGTTGTTATTGAAACTGACTCAACGCACTGATATCTCCCTCCATACTTATCTTCTTCACTTGTCGTTTTTTGTTCAGAGTGTAGACGGCATGATGTGTCATGATTTAACTGGGAATTAATATAAGGCAGTGGTTTGAAATCATTGTGTTGTGATCTTATGTTAAGATGCTAAAACAGAGATAGTTATTTCCCGTCACCCTTAGCAAGGGTGTACGTTATAATGACTTGAATATTGGTTTGATTAAAAATTCTGGTTTTGCTATTTAGTAGCCTGCCGGATGACCCCCATGATCGAAATTGTTGATCTTTCGGCTTCTCAGTAATTTAGCACCTGAGAATAACTCCTAGCAGTGGAAATGCGAATCATCCGATCTTTAATATTTTCCATGATTTTACGCTGTCTCCTTTGTACTGTTCCTAGTGAAATGAGTGAGACAACCTATGTGACCATCGTCTTAATTGTCAACATTTCAGTATTCCACCGTCATCTGTCACCTGTCTGTGTTGTTCTTCCTCGAAACTTGCTATTAAAACAGATTATTTTGCTTGTCTTTCAGTTTCTACGATGGAATGAGTAAAATAATGAGGCCGTAATTTTTTTCATTGCATTTATTCGTGAAGCAGAGCATCCCAGTCGAAGCCAGCTAATATGCCTAAATTTCGATGATCACTTCGCATTTATGCAAAACTCACGCATATGCTCTCTTTACCAGTTTTAGATTGACTTTCGTAGTATTAAACGAGTTTGTACACATTTACAAATTATCTCTCATTTGGCGAACTATGTTCAATTTCAGGATTGCTTTTTATGATATGGCAAAGCAGGCCGTTGAGTCGACATCACAGAGCGACAACAAAATCACCTGGGCTATCATCCGAGATCACATGGGTGACATCCTTTACCAGTTGTCAAGCATGAAATTTAAGGTAACTTTTATCTGGGCTTTTCATGCGACTATTGCCAAGATTTATTTGTTATTTTGATATTTAGGATCCGACAAAGCTCGGTGAGCAGCAGATCAAGAAAGAGTTTGAAGAACTGCTCGAGCAGATTCAGCAGGGCTTCCGGAACCTGGAGGATTGAGGTCAGAAGCATTACGCTGTAGCCGTTTAATTTTTTATTTTGTTGCATTTAAACTTTGTATCGAAATCTGATTTGTCTGTAGTGATTAATGCCGCGTAGAAATAGCCAGCGCCACTTGCGGAATAAGATTGAAACTACCGGTGTCTGTTTGAGCATTTGTGTATATGGTTGCCTTTGTATTCATGCACTCATTGTCAATATAAGAGGAATATTAAGATCAGGATTTATGGGGAAGATGTAATTACACATATGCAGGCGCACACTACGTTTCGACGATTTCAGCCGGTCGACCTCATTTGATGCTGGCTCTGTTTCAGCTTACCGCATTAGAAAAATTAATTTGTGCATGTATTTGTACATGTATGTTAGTGTAATCTAATCTTCACTCTATACTTAAGCGGATATTATAGAGATTAGTCTTTTTTGGAGCTGCCTATATCTTTGGCTATTATCCGCTACAAAAGATGTCAGCACAGCACAAATGACTCAGAGGTTTGCTATCTTGGATCAGTGAGCTTTAGTGGCATCAATCGTGTTCTGGTAAGAATCCTTCATGCTACAGCAGTATATGAAAGCTACCTGTTCTTCTTATCCTATTAAGTGATGGATTTTCATATGCACCTGACGGCGATCAGTAGACTAGTACCGATTTACTTCGCAGCAGCATGAACCTAGATCAATTTGTTGTGCCAAATTTTTTTTGAACGGTCTTGTACACTGAGATACTAATCAGTCTGTAGATTTAAAACAAGGATATTAATCGGTCCGCAAATTACTTCACCAAAGAGCTCCGTAAGGTTTTTTAACTCGCTATCAGTACAGTTTTCCGATTAACGATAGCGGGTGATCAAGATTTTCTGACACACGCTACGAAGGCAAACGATTAAGCAATAATAAACTTTCCTTTATCGTATTCCAAATCATTCTGTATCAACCGTACAGATATGCGAGAAAGGTCATGCATCAATTTCATTCCATGATGGTGAAGTTGAAAACAGCGTTGTGTTCAGCACTTATCGAAAAATCGCAGATCATGCCGGTTATCATAATTAAATCTTCATAAAAGCACACAATGCGTTGCATAGCAAACAGTAAAATAGAATGGCCAGAAACATGACATGTTTACAGGTTTATGCAGCAGATTAATTTTCAGGCAATTAATCTCTAGCTAATGATTTTTTTCATAGATTTTCATTATGCTTGTTTCCTTCTTTACATGACCATCGGTTATGAATTCTAGAATTTCGTGTCTCGAAAATATCCTGACGCTTTAACCCATCTTCGGGAGATCAATAGTCATGCGAGCAGTAATTTTTGTTTCTTATGTATAAATGATATCGATTTCAGTAGATGCCTGTCTTTATTGTCATATCCAGAATCTCGAGTAGTGTTGACAGTTGAACTTTTAATGGCAGTTGAATTGTCAGCGCACTTTCTACCATGCTTGCTTTTAAAGTATTGATTTTTTGAAGATTATTAATTTATAGGTATGTCCGATCTCTGCCATGCCAATTTCTTCATTAACATTCGGCAGCAGTTTCGTGAATTGTAGAAGAATAAGTCTGTTAAGCGATCGAGCGTTCTTAAACAAGATTTCTATTGTTCGATGTTTTTCTTCAATCGCATATGGTGAAGATCAGTTTTGTACCTTGTGCTTCTAGAACAAGTACTTTTGTCATTGTTAAGTATCGTTTTTATCCTTTGCAGAAAATCATTTGTAACTTGTTTGATTCGGTGTTGCATAAAATTATAGTTCTGTTGTTTCCGATGTTCTTATCGGATAAAATATTTGGCTGTGATTTGGTGGTCATTAGAATAATTTAATGTTGTTACAAAGTGATTTTGGTGGGCTGTTACGAACGAAATTTTCATGATTCAGTGGCTTTCTACAATTAAATTTCGCATCGTCAATGTCTAAAATCGTCAGTAATCTTGAAATACAAACGGCTTATTGTTTTTAGGATTACTTTTGTTATTTAAACGCCGGAAGCCAAATTCGAAAACTTGGATGCTTAGAATTTCCATAATTATCTTTTACACGATCATTTATGATGTTTTATTTCAGTGGTCTATTTCGCCGTCGTTAATAAAGCCTATTGAATCGAATCAAGAACGAATAAGAAGTTAGAGAGCGTAATTGCTTCACCTTGCAAAGAACGGTTCGATGCGCTTTTCGTCAATGGCTGGTGACCAATCACATTTCAAGGTATTTTTCATTAAGCCTCCTTCACTTTTAAGTGCTATAAGACTGACGACGGCTACGCATAGTTTCAGGCTGTCAGAATGGACGGACACCGAGCTGCATCAGCTGTGATAAATGAATGATTATGATCAAACAGCAGCGTAATGATGCTAAGTAATTTTAAAATAAATCTTCGCAGCAGTAATTCAAAACATATGCGCCACAGGCTGACTCAGCCATAAAATCACTTAATTCTAGGATAACTATTTTTAATCCAGACATCTAGTCTTGCAGAGCAAACTCGGCCTCCAGACCAATGTCAAAGAAAATAAATGGCAAGCACACTTTCACACTTAACGATCAGTTGTCGGTTGTTACCAGGTTCATCATCATTACTGTACGTTGTTGCCTTGGGTTCCGCTGTCGCTTATTTGACTAATTCTGCAATTTCATGGGTAAAACAGCTGAATAGGCCGCAGTTCTTTTCCCGGTTGGTGAGAATTTTATTTCATTACTACCCGATTTAAAGAAATTCAAATTATTTTAAAACAAAATCCTGATGAACTCCAAAACCGCTAGTTACACATCTGAAACCTGACTTGTGCCGTTGGCGCGCTAAATCAGATATCAACGCATCGCCAAGCATTTATTCAAAAAACCATAAAAACGTACAGTCGGCGATTAATTACCTCACGGGAGCAATCTCTTACGTAGTTGCGTTAACGCGAAGATTTCGTTTCGTGTCTCCGGTAGCTGTAGACATTGAGGCTTCTCTGGCATACTCCAATATATATATTCTTTTGAGCAAACAAGAGATGAAACAACAATACACAGGTCTCATTAACACCCAGATATTCAGGATATCATAACAATCTCATATATAAAATTACGTATTCGGCAAAATATTCAATTTTACTTCGTTACATTAAACAATTGATGCAATATGTACAAACTTTAGTTGATTTGCAAAAATGATTGCAGTCACTAGGTACATTATTTTAAAATATATTTGCTGTAAAACATTAATGAACTGCAAAATTGATAGAGAAGACAATCAATGATGAACCCTTCTGCTATGGTACAAGAAAGGCTAATTCCTATGCTTTCAGCAGACGAGAATGCAGCCAGAGAACAATATCTCATCGCAAATCTACGAAAATAACGGCTGAAGGCATACGACAAAAAACAACTTTTCAACAGGTTTTTCATGCAATTACGTAATGACGCATATCATTCGAAAAATATGGCAAACTTTAGAACTACTCAATCGTTGAACGATTTCTTTAGAATGAGGATTATGTATCGATAAAACAAAATGTTTGATTTTTTAAAAATAGTGCATCCTTTTAGGCCAAAAAATAGCACAAAACACATGGTTGTTTTGCAAGAAAAATGCGATTGCTGAATAGCAACTTTCTCTACAGCTCAGCTCAGTCGCTCATTCACTATATAAATAATTTTTATTGATTTCACACGCCAAAGGTAGACAACTGTCAGTCGAAAATGAACAGCTGCCAAAAGATTATAAGTTACATATGCGAAAGGCTAAGCGACATAAAACGAAATATAAAACAACTACAATCGCCACATCACAAGCAGTTTTTCAGATGACTCGATTCAAAGAAAAATACTCTCTGCTCTTATGTTGCGCGCCACACAAAAACAGATAAATTGCAAATGTCGAAATACAATCGTAAACAACGCCATCTTCAATCTTCACACCAAGCATTTTCTTTTCGTATCTGCAAATGACGACTCAGAACATAAGCTTAACAAAGAAATTGATAATAATGAGCTTAGTTTATAGGTGGAATTAAATCATATGGGATAGAAAAACGCTTCAGTTGAAATACTTGTAATATAATAAATCTTATGGCATAATCGCAAAAGTCCGTTACGGAATGAGACCCCCAAAAAAAATTTACTATGCACGTACTAAAATTGTTATCCTGCTCTTTGGCAGGATAATAATGGTAATAACACTTTCGTTTATTAAAAACTAATGAACATCACAGAACATTAATAATTCTGAAATTAAAATAAGCCTCCGATTTCCAAGTTGCCCAAAACCATGAACGATCTTTCTTTAACATTGCAGAATAACACTCGTCACTACATTAATTGTGAGGGGGGAGTTAACCTCATGAGATAAATGGCAATATAAATTGGTGAGACGTTTTATGCATCAACTAATTCAACCTAAAGAAACCTGCGACATAAATTGCTAAAAATTAAATATAAAGTGCACGAGATTTAAACTGTCCAGAACCAGTTCTGTAAATACTGCATCAGAGAGCGAAAGCGAGGGTCGTTTTAAATCCAGCAGCTACAAAAGTCAAGTACCTGTTCTTCTTCTTGAGGAGTAAAGTCGTTTTTAATGTTGAAAGTTCTTCGAATCTCTTCCGGAGTCTTGCCTTTAATCATGTTTGCAACAGTTTTGCACGTGACATCGAGAAGTCCCTTGATGTCGAGATAATTTGCTGCCTAAAGATTAAAGATTAATGATCACAGAGGGGAAGCAGTCGTACTAAGTTTATATAAATTTAATGCAAACATTATTTTTTACTAACTAAATGAACTGCATTACGCTACATTAAATCTGAGATGTAAAAGCTATGCCGCTTGATGTCTAGACTTCAGCTGATTACTTTTCAAGATAAAGAGTAATAATCATCGCGCCACGGGGCATATGATTTTTACTGGATGAATTTTAATGTAAGGAAACCGAGGACCTCCGACTCCAAACCTGCTAACCACTGCGAACGACAACAAGAATTCGAAAATCAATCAACCAGCTGTTTTACATTGAAGACCCGTGAGACACAGGTCAAAACATCGGTACTGGTCAGTTACGAGAACGGACATTTTTCTGCGTCATGTTGAGCAAGTAAGAAAAATTAGCTGGAGAATGAAACCAAAATAAACACAATTTATCGTTTAAAATCATGATCTCGAGTGAAAATTTTAAAAATTCCTAATAAATTACTTATACGGTTAAGTGGCGATGCATAAAATAAGTCAAATGAATCACGTGCAGACGCTAAGAAACTCTCAGAAGCATCGATCTCTTTGAAAAAGTCAAAACTACTTTAGGTTTAAATCCCTTGACTCACCAATTGCTTGATGAACTAAACTGACCTCACAGGATAACTGCAACTGTCAGATAATGCGAACATAACGGCTTACCAGAATCAATTCGAAAAGTGTCCCTTGATCCACTTTCAGGAAATCAGCATCCCACGAAGATATATCATCACTCCGCTTCTCCTTGGTGTCGTCGTCTTCAAGGGGCGGCGAATCGTCCTTATGATACGTACACCATTGGATTACCTTCAACAATGTTAAATAAGGAATAATTGCATATGCTTAATTTTGCTAACAGTAAAACGCAACGTCAGAAAACAAAAAACAAAACATTTAAAGGTGCACATTGACGCAAACCTTATTACATACTAATACTCACCTTCTTCAGAATTGCAGCATTAACATTTGGCAGTGGTATATGTTCAGATTCATTCTCTTCGTCTTCTACTCCGAGATCTAAGGGGAAAAAATGTCAGTATATTACACAAAAAACTAAAAAACTCGACATAAACCTTCCAACATTGTTTTGATGGTGTTCGACAGGCGGATGACATTGATTTCCACTTCGAAGAGTTCGTGGTCAGAACTCTGCAACTTGACTTTCTTGCTCATTTTTTCGAATATGTTGAAACGGCACCTAGTAGAATTAATATAAATCGAAAGTTTACAACTTTATCATGATAAAGAAAATCTATGCCTCTAAAGGAAATAAACACCAACAATACTAAAATAAAATACAAAATACGCACTAAGACTCAAATTGAATAGAGAAGAGCTATTAGCTGCATCGATCAGCAAAAATGCTATTGTGAATGACTGGACGTGCTCGTTTTGAGTTCGAAATCAACAATGCCTTAACGGACTATTTACAGATTTACTGAGAACTGATTCGAAAATCACTACTGCGGCCGCAGGTTAAACATACCATTTGATAGAAGTCATAAATATTACCGTAGGTAGATCATCTACTGACTGGTATCAAGAGTTAATGATGAAAGTCTGTAGAATGTACACATCTTTAAAGAATCTGAAAGAAATTATGCTGATTTAACGTCGTCCCTGTTCGGAAGAACAATAAGAGCGAGGAGAGACATCGTAAGAGTAAATAAGATACTAATTCGTCAATGGCTTGTTTTATAATAAACGTTTTGAGATCAAAAGATACACTGTAAAATCTGTACTAATACCATCCCGTGTAAGATTGGGAACCCTTATATTCTTCAGTAATGCCTACTAAGACATATCTGACTAAGACAATGGTGAGTCTGAAGATTAAGCTCTGCGTTGAGGTTGATCTTCGATCTGAAGCTCATCTACCACATTGAACAACGGGTCATGATTGAAAAATTTCGATTTAGGATACAAGCGACTGAAATGGGCATTCAAAGACGAATTACTTGGAACAGCCGTCTCCACATAACCTGGAGTAGTGGTATCCGAGAGACCCTTCGTGTAGGTTTTGCAGATTTCAAAAAAACGTATGTGAATGCTTCCAGAAAATGTGCGTTACAGAAACTACTACTCTGCCTAACCGACGGGCCGAAGATCCTAAGGATAACCAACAGCGGCATGGGGTCAGTGAAGTAATCAACTTTAGACACGTACCTTCCGCCAAAGCTTAAATGCTGGCAGAAGATGGGGAACGTCGCGGCAACCCTGTCCAACGCGATCAGAAAGAATAAGTGATCATCGAAATTAACGGTAACAAGTAACCGTCGTCAACCAAAACTGCTACACGATAAAGAAAAGAAATTCGTTTCAGGTTTCGAAACTAACAAAGCAAAGTATTTTGAGAAGTAGCAAAGTAAAGATTTTGAATAGACTTTACGCCTTTGTTTAATCGATCATGCTTATTATGGGGTAGAACTACGCATGAAGATCATGGAAATCATCTCTTGCATAAAAGAACAACGCTCAATTTTCAAGTGTTTTCAACTGATTTATAAAGTCTCTATTTAACAATACACCAAAGTCTAAAAAAAGCATATTTTGGGCAGCATTTATTAGTTATAAGAACGAAATTCAATTCCACTTAACGGCTGAAAGGACAGCAACCGACAGAAACAGACATTTGGAACTTCACCGATCTAATATTATAATAAACTGTCAAAATATGAAATAATCAAACGCTATGCATATAAAAGAGAGCACTGAAAAAAGAATGCTGTGTAAGCTATCGACTACTCTGTTTCAAAAAAGCTTTCAACAAATGATATATGAAAACTGCTAGCATCCAGCGACTCAGTTACCAAATGCTACACAACAGAACGGCGATAATTCGAAAAAATAAGATAGGCAACATTATCGAAAACCGAAAAAGTTTTAAGGTTCGAACGAGGTTAATATAAGCATTCTTTAACTATGAAATCGTCAAAACTGCTGTTTTAAACGGTTAAGAAACGGAGAACAATAAGTGGAAAGAAAATACAGGAGATGGATACAGAACCGTACACTAGATCATATGTCCTGCCAAGGTAACAAGACTTATTGAAAGATACATGGGTGGTTCACGAATGGCCGCAACGTAGCAGTGCACCTTGCTCAGTCAAACAGCTGACGCAGCGGCTTATATACAAGGCATAAAAAAGAAATAATTTAAAACATGCAGCTAACATTTGCACATCATATGACGGGGGTTGCTGAATCAGAAGAGCGTTCGACAGAGAACCAAGAAGTGACGGAATGGAGTCCCGGTCGGATCACTCGCTGCGTTCCTGTCCGAGAATGCTAAGCTTATTAAGAGAGAACCACACAATGGAAAAGAGACAGACTACAGACTGTGTTCGTCGTACAGCTGTCGTCGACTGCCTAGGGCACTTTTCATAGAGCATAGGGCACTGGTACATGGCATGAAAATTGGAGAGCGTCGCTGCATTTACTTCGAGAAAAGAAGGGGCCTAAAAATAGCTGCATCATGAAAAAGCAAGGAAGAAAGACATTTCAACGATTACAAACTTTCCATTTGTTCCTAGCAAATGTTTCACTTGGGGCCAAAATGAAACATGGAAAGTAACGGATTTTAACCCCACCCTCTCGCCTAAAAGGCACTGCCCTGAAAAATCGTTCGAATAGCTCTTCCATAACAACATTAAAACACAATGGCGTAGCCATAAATAGATGCCCCCACCCAACAAACTTAGAAATTAAGCACTACAAACCCCATATGATCGATGCATCCAATTTAGTTTCAGAAGTAAATCTTTACAATTAACGCAAAACACTATACGTTGGTTACTAAAAATAGTGCAAAATGCAGCAAATACTTTCCTAAAAATTTACAGCAGTCAGAAACACAAAACTAAAACGAAAAAATTATAGTTCCCTCTTTACAGAAAGTATAAAGCGATCGTTTACCACAGGCAACAAATATGAAGCGCAAAATCTACAAGATGTTAATGCTGCAAGTAAAGCACTTTATAACATATAAATCTGTACAGTTATAATTTATATGTACACAAATTATGGAGAGAAGTATCGACAACTGGCAAGATCTGTACAGTTCTGCAGACCAACTAAACTAATGACAATGGCATCTTTATTCAAATATATTTAAAAAATATTTACTTTATCTCGTGCATTCGTTCTTGAAACAGCCCACTTCCAAAAGCATACAGAGCACACTACCCAATGACAACGAAAGATTATTCAAATTAAAATGAGTTTAATCGGAATGATAATGTTTAAGTCTTTTTCATGACCTAAAAAGAAATTTAAAGTTCACCGAAACACATGTTTTAACATTAATATTATAGACAGTTTACAAAAGTAAATGTTTTTCTCCATGCTTATTCAACAAAAGGTTAGAATAAAATAAAATGTTTTGGGTAGTGATCGAACCATTGTTCAATCAGAAGCATGATCGACCGCGATCCTGCGTAACTGTGGCAAACATCCTGAATAATCGGCGAGTTTTTCGGTGTTCGATTCCCCAGATTTTTGGGGCCATTGCTGATTAGTTAACAGAGCATCGAACTCACAACCGAGAGGTTCTTAGTTCTAACGAGGTAATACAACGCGCCATTATTTTTCCGAAGTTGATAAATGAGTACCATTGTGTGAAAAAGAGATCATTCGCGATATCTTTCAAATGATTGTTGACTTCGCATTTAAAATGACGCACTCTTGGCTAATTGCACAGAAACGTGGATTAGCACCTTTCTATTAAATTCATCAAAATGAGCGCCAGAATGTCCCAATTTTGAATGTCAAAGAAGACCAGCATTCCAACGGTGACAAAGTTTTCTTCCTTTACAAGCAAAAGACTTGCTGCAGGTGAACCCATGAAACATCAAACTTCGTCAACAAATTTGCTCTGAAGAAATTCAACGAATGACTGAAATGCTCATATAAGTGCAACAACCAATCGGCTACTCCTTCGTGACACTGCTGTTTTGTCTAGCATAAATGTTTATTTGGAAGTTTTCATTTTCCTGTTTTAGTAATTGATGGATACGATGATTTCGTATATCTTCATAGACGTCTAAAAAATGAGAGAATATACTACCCGAATGTTTTTAACCGTTCACAGCTGTTTCAAAAAAAGTAACCTGATGGTATCCAGTAGGCTACTATGACGACTGTAGTTGGCTAATGACAGAATTTGGAGAAATGCCAGCATTTGTCGTTAAGTAATTTCAAGGGAAAATACTTGCAGCGCGCTTCTTAATGAAATTCAGCAGGTTAGTGTTTATTGCGATCTTACAAAGTTATGGCTTAATATCTTAATATACTGTTAGAAAACTTTTTGTAGATTTGTCTGTTGTTTATATCATCGAAGTTGCCATTGCAGTCATGCTGTCTAAATCGTATCATTTTTGTTCACGTATCGTTCACGTATTGTCAAGCGTTAAACGTGTCAGAAAATGATACCTTTCTTGTTTTTCGGTCAGTGCCTGTAAATCTCCCGATTTTTCTGTCATTACTCTGAGGCAAAGTTAAGTTCAATGAGGCGTTTGAAGTTCCTCCTTGTGCTTCCTAATGATAGTGTAGTTTGTAGAGGTGGCAGTAATTGTGGTTATTCAGCTTAAAAGGGTTGAATTGTTTTTCATTTAAGGTTATTGCCATACGGGAAATTTTGAATAATGGTTTTTTAGGTTAGCACTGTTAAACAGGAAATGAACCCATTTTTAAGTTTGGCGGCTTCTCTGCGCAGATATTATAATGGAAGGAATGCTTTAAACCATTGAAACTTTGGGCTTCTTTGCACTTTTATGATTGGAGGCTGTTGTTGCGCGTTTTATTTCATGAAGCTTGTGATATTAGCTGATTTCTCTTGTGCTAACAGCCAGTCATACCTTATTTTATAGACAGTCTGTAACGATATGGCAAGCATATTTTATAACGTTTAGTTTCCAACTTTCTTTCTCACAGAGTGGTACTGATCTGTACTAAGTTCATATTGGAAACCTCTCAGTTACGCGCTCTTCCGACCGGTGTCCACATTGACAGGCGTGGTGGCGCAGTTGTCTAAGAGGTTTTCTTGGAAGGTGCCAGGTTCATTTCCACGGCAATTCACAAATTGCTTTGAGCAAGGAATCTCTTACATATTGCTTTAGACTAGGGTTGCTTATTCAGTAGAGCGTCGAACTCAGAAAATATAGGTCTCGAGTTCA